CCCTTGTTCAGAAAAAAAAATGTTTTCTGAAGAAGGGTCTCAACCCAAAACTTCAGCTTTCCTGCTCCTCTGATGCTGCTTGGCCTGCTGTGTTCATCCAGCTCTACACCTTGTTATCTCAGATTCTCCAGCATTGGCAGTTCCTACTGTCCCTTCTCAGGAATTATCTCTCTTTTCTCCCTCACTTGAAGATAATTATTAAGATAATTAGTTTTGTCCCAAGTTTCCCCTGGCTGGAGAATCTAGAACATAGAGGCACATCTCAGGCCAAGAGGTTGATCGTTTAGAAACTGGGATGAGGAGAAATGTCTTTGGAATCTTTTGAAGTTTTCTGCCACAGAAGGTCGTGGATGTTCCATGTTTGAATACTTGGAAGGCCGGTATTGATTTGCAGTCTGTCCGAGAATCCAGGGCGAGAGCGAGTGAGCGGGAAAGTGGAGTTAAAGCCCAAGATCAGCATAATGAATGGGAAAGCAGGCATAACATTTGCTCTTATTTCTTGTTTTCTTGTGAAGACATGATGAAAGTCCCCCTTGCACATAGAGCACGAATGATTTTCTCAACATATAGTTCTGTACGACTGATTTCTTTAGTGATTGAAGAGTAGAACCCATGCAAACTACACTTTATCCTATCTTCCTTCCTGTCATTCCAGTCATTTTTTCTAAATTCTCAAAGCCAAGGTAATAGTTTGTTGCAAGTTTATAGTATGCATATTGGTGAATATTTCATGCGTCTTTCTCTGTAATGCTTGTGTTCCTTCAAGATGTAGCTGATTGGCAGGTCCCCAGTGCAGGCATGTTCTTCTGGATGAAACTGAAGGAAATCCCAGACACACATCAACTCATCTCGGAAAAAGCCAAGAAAAAAGAGGTAACGTACAAACTGTTGGAGGCAATTCCCCCGGCAACATGCCACAATCTGATGGAAACTCACAGTCATACAGCGTGGAAACAGGCCCTTCGGTCCATGTCGTCCATGTCAACTAGGTTTCCCAAACTAAACCACTCCCATTTGCCGGCGCTTGGCCCATGTCCCTCCAAATCTTTTCTATTCATGTACCTGTCCAGGTGCCTTTTAAATGTTGTAATTGTACCTGCATCCACCACTTCCTCTGGCATCTCATTCCATACACGCACCACCCTCTATGTGAAAACGTTGCCCTTCAGGTCCCTTTTAAATCTTTCCCCTCTCACCTTAAACCTATGCTCCTTAGTTTTGGACTACCCTACTCTGGGGAAAAGATGTTGGCTATTCACCATATATAGACCCATCATTATTTTATAAGTCTCTATAAGGGCACCCTTCAACCTCCTATGCCCCAGTGAAAAAAGTCCTAGTCTATCCAGCCTCTCCTTATAACTCAAACCCTTTATTCCTGGCAACATACCAGTAAATCTTTTCCAAATCCTCTTCAATTCATTAATATCCTTCCTATAGCAGGGCCACCAGAACTGTATACGGTACTCCAAATGTGGCCTGACCAATGTACAACCTCACTATGACATCCCAACTCCTTTACTCAAAAGTCTGAGCAATGAAGGCAGGTGTGCTAAACACCTTCTAAACAACCCTGTCTACCTGTGACGTGACTTTGAAAGTGCTGTGTACCCGAACTGCTAGGTCTCTCTGTTTGACAACACTACCCAGGGCCCTACCATTAACTGTATAAGACCTGCCTTTGTTTGTTTTACCAAAATGTAATACCTCATATTTGTCTAAATTAAACTCCGTCTGCCACTCCTCAGCCCATTGACCGAATTGATCAAGATCTTAGCTAACCTTATTTTTGCTTCTTCATTTTTTCTCCTTGTTCATCAATCTCCCTCTCCTCTTCATTGCCCTGTGCTCCATTTCACCCTCCCCTCAACTTCATGCTCTCTCCTTTTTCACCCTGCCACCCTCTTTACCTTGTTAATTCAATCCCAAGTCAGTTGGTAGAGGATAAAAATTAGCCACTAATTCATTTTGGTAACGTATTCATAATGCAGAGAGTTCAGCATTACTCGTGTCTGCTTCCTACCTACTATCCACCATGCCCCAGTGCTCTAGGTATTTAATTAAATAATAAAATTCCTCTGTGTATCTTCATTCAATTAAGATACCCTCCATTCCTCTTCATCTCTTTTTTTTCACCACTTTCCCATTATTTTCACTTTCACCTCCCTCACTCCTTCCTCCTCACCTTCACCCTACATCAAATGTCCAAAGGTTGTTCCCAAATGGCCCTCAACAGGTTTCCAGAGGCTGCTCATTGTTTTAAAGTGACCAGGAAGAGGAGAAGGAAGTGCCGGCAGAGGCCTACATAATACCGAGGAACCAGGAAGAACACTCTTGCAAACGTCCTGCCCTTACACATCTCCCTTGCCCAATCCCCACACGCCCCCCACTCTGAGCTCCACCTGAAGTTTATTTAGAAAACGAAGGATTCATGGGCCCCTATTTTTGACTTTACAAAAGCAACACAAGATATAGAGCAGAGCTAACGCCCATGTTGACAGATTTCCAGAACAAGGTGTCAGACAGTCACTAGGTGTCCCATTGACATGTCCACAGGGGACTAACACTTGTTTTACATGAGAGTCACATTCACCTCAGTGTCTCCCATCACAATAAGGGATCAGAAATTCTTGGGAGCCATTGGGCTAAGCTCCATGAAGTGCAGAACCTTTTACCTGAAAAACATTTGCGATGAGGTACAATTTCTGTCATGTGAGTGGCATACATCCTCTTTAAATGCAGTGTTTGCTGAATTTCACACCGTAGTTCAAACCTGAAGATTCCTGTCAAAATCCCTTATCCTGAACTCTCTTCCTACCTTTGGACTCTGTTCCCATTTCAGATCAATTAGGGTGCCTTTGAACATTTCATGGTAGCCTGGATGTCCCAGTCTAGGATAGGGGAAACGGGATAATTCCCTGAATGACCTTCCGAGGACCCTCCTGCTAGCCCACCCCTGTCTGCTATTTCACACGAAAGGCCAAAGCCTACACTGGCCTGGCCACCCCAACCCCAGCCCCATCGAAGGACTCTTCAGTGGTCTATCACTGAAGAACTGCCTCAATTTTAAGGCTGATGGGAGCAGTTGCATAGAAATATGGAGAATGGGAAGAGGAGTAGGCCAATCAGCCCTTTGAGCCTGCCCCACCATTCAATATGATCATGGCTGATCATCCAACTCAGTCCCCTGTTCTTGCTTTCGCTCCATTCCCTTTGATTCCTTTATCCTAAGAACTATATCTAACTCCTCTTTGAAAACATTCAATGTTTTGGCTTTGATCGCTCTCTGTGGGAGAGAATTCTCCAGACTCCCCACTCTCTGGGTGAAGAAATGTCTTCTCATTGCCTCATGAGAAATTTACATTCTACTTTTACAAAACGGGCTGTGAGACTCATTATCATTATAAAGAGAGCAGATGGTGAAGGAGTAAGAAAGGCCCAAAATGACCTCGCCCACATCCTTAGACTGTGACCCATTTATCTTACACATTTACCTTGACTCTGTAGGACTCTGGACTGCCCTGGACACCTTCAGGAGCAGGGGGCAGGCGAGGGTGGGAAAGTCAACAGGTCACCCCATTCTGGCCTCGAGTGGGAGGCTAGGTCAGGCTCTTTCTCAAGAACCTCATGTCTACATCTGACATCCTTGGCTTGCATCTCACACCCCCAATCCAAATCCCATTCCACAAGGTCTGCTCCTACAGGGGCCTCCCTATCAATGCCAATTCAGCCATTCCATCAAGACGTCCACTACCACTTTCCCCAGTAGCTGTACGGGACCCCTTCCCACCCTACTGGGAGACCTCCTGCCCCTGCCCGTGCCTTCACTGTCCTGGTCTCTGGGAGTTGAAGGGTTCTTGGAGGAACACCTTGTAGTTCCTGTCTTGTCCACTGCTGCCGCTGGCACTGCTGAGCCAGCAGAGATCCCGGCCAATCAGATTGGCCGCCAAGGCTCAGAGAAAAGGGGAGTTGGTCTTCAACCCAAATGAGGGTGAGAAGCTGGTCTCCAGCCAATTAACCCTCCTTGGGTTGTTCAATGACTTTGGGGCTGCTCGAGTCATTCATCACTCAAACCTCGAGCAAGGCAAGATGTCCTACTTCGAGATAGCAAGAACTGCAGATGCTGGAGTCAGAGATAACACAGTGTAGAGCTGGAGGAACACAGCAGGCCAGGCAGCATCAGAGGAGCAGGAAAGATGTCCTACTTATTCCTTTCTCCATCTGCCTCCTTTCTTAACTTTGGTCCATTGTATTTTGAATGCATGAAAAAGTGGCTCCTGCTGAAAATGGGTGTGTCTGCCTGTCCCCAGGTACTGCTCGTCCCTGGTCAAGTGTTTATGACTGACAGTTCAGTACCGTGTTCGTATCTCCGAGCTGCTTTCTCCAATTCCAGCCCTGAAGAAATAGATCAGGTAAATACGTTTATTATTAATTTACTGATTAATCAAGTCTCTTCCATGCATTCACAGGACATGGGTATTGCAGGTTGGGCTGGCATTGCCCATTCCTAACTGTCCTGGAGAAGGTGGTAGTGAACTGCCTTCTTAACTGGCTGTAATTACTAGGGGGTACAGATAGATACCCACAATGTGTTTGGGAAGGGGGTCCCAGGAGTTTGAGCTGGCTGAGGGAACAGTGATATGGTTTGAAGTCAGGGTGGTGTATTACTTAGAGGGGAACTTGCAGGTGGTAGTGTTTACATGTGCCTTAGTCTTTCTGGCTGGTAATGATTGTAGCCTCAGAAGGCACTGTTGAAGAAAGCTCATCAACATTTTTAAAAGGAAGTTAGGTAATTACACGCAAGAGAAAGGATTAGAAGCGGGGTATGTCTGCCTCCTCACCTACATCCACCTGGCACTCTGCCTCCTCACCCACCTGGCATCCATCCCCCTCA